TAGGCCATTGTTATCCATCACTGCATAACAAAACACGCTAAAAGTGGCACAGAACAACAATCATTCATTTTGCTTATGAACCCAGGGGTGCCTGGAGTTAGCTAAGAGCTCTTGCTATGTCTCTCATGTGGTTATAGGCAGTTGGTGGCTGGTGCTGGGGTCATCTCAAAGCATCTTCAATCACATATTTAGAGTCTGGGCTAGGGAGACAAACCACTGGAGGCGGGAACATACCTGACTCCTTGGCTACCTTTCTTTCTCTCTTTCTCTCTCTGTGGGCTCTCCATGTAGACTTAAGGTAGCCCAACTTCTTACATGAAATCTGGAGGGTTTTCAAGGTACCTCAGGAGAAACTGACAGAAGCTTCAGGGTATTTCTAAACCTAGCCTTAAAAGCCAGTGTCACTTCAACCACATTTGGTTCATTAAGGTAGTCACAAAGATTCACCCAGGAGCAAGGGGAGGGAACACAGACTTGATTTCTTGTTGGAAGAATGTCAGATAATGTGCACACATGCCAATATGTTCCATACATGCCAAGACCGCTAGTGGACACCTGAAGCCATGCATAGTACCTAACCCTGTGTATGCTATGTTTTTTTCTATACATACATACCTATGGTAAGGTTTATTATTTAGGAACAGTAAGAGATTAACAATAACTAATAATAAAATAGAACAATTATAACAATAAACTGTAATAAAAGTTATGTGAATGTGGGGCTCTCTTTCTCTCTCTCTCTCCTCTCTCTCTCTCTCTCTCTCTCTCTCTCTCTCTCTCTCTCCCTGTCTTATTATAACCTTTATCCCTTACTTGCAGTAAATGGCTTGGTGTCTCTCCAGTGGATCCCTTGCTGAAGTCTTTGTATAGGCTCAATGCTTTCTGGCTCAACACACTGCCATCAATCAGAACATGTTTTCGGTTCCTGTCTTCCACCCACAAATTTAATGACTTTTCCATCATAACTAAGCATGTATCATGCACTGTTGCCATAATTTTTGCAGTTTGAGGTGCTACAGTCAAAGTAGCATGCATTTCTTTTCCCTTCTTCACAGTTTCATGGATAGAAGATTCGGTCTTACTGTAAATCTTAGCAACTTAAGCGTACAATTTTTTTCTTTCCTTATTAAGTCAAGAACTTTCACTTTTTCACTTAAAGGAAGTATTTTACAGCCTCTCTTTGGCATATTCGAATTGTCAGCATCATTATTCTTGAGCTTTGGGGCTATAACTAAGTAAAATAAGGGTGACCTGAACATAAGCACTTCGATACCGCAACAGTCAATCTGATAGCCCAGAGGGCTCCTATGTGACTAACTGTGGAGACGTTGGACAAAGGGATGAGTCACGTCCTGGGCAGGACACAGTGGGATGCCATGGGATTTCATCATGCTCAGAACGTCACACAATTTAAAACTTATGAATTGTTTATCTCTGGAATTTTCCATTTAATATTTTCGAACTGCAGCTGACCACAGGTGACTGAAACCACAGAAAGTGAAAACACCAATGGGGGTGGGGAGCTACTGTACCAGTAAAAACAATTAGAAAATAAAATTGTAAAAACGATACCATTTACAAGAGTGTCAAAAAATACCAACTACCTAGGAATAAACCCAACAAAAAAATGTATGAGAACATTATGCAGAAAACTATAAAACTTTATTGGGAAAAACAAAAAACTAAATAAATGAAGGGATATATCATTTTCAAGGATTGGAAGACCAACTATTATAAAGATGTCAGTTTTTCTCAAATTGGTCCATAGATTCAATACAATACCAACCAAAATACCCACAGCTTTTTCTGTAGACCTTGACAAGCTAATTCCAAAATGTATACGGAAGTGCAAAGGATCAGAATAGCAAGCCACTTTTGAAGGAGGAGGAACGGGAAGAGGAGGGACTTTCTCTACTTGACATGAGACTTACCATAAAGCCAGTGTGACACATTATTAGGGCAGTGTGATATTGCCACAAGGAACACAAATAGAAAAACAGATAGACAAATAGACCAGTGTAACAGAAGAGCCCAGAAACAGACCCACAGGCATATGGACATTGATTTATGTCAAAGATGGCTTTGCCAAAGAGGGAGGGAAAGAATGGTCTCTTCAGTAAATGGAGTTCGAATAATCAGGCATCCACATGGAAATAATGAAGAAAAGGGAGGGATGGATGGATGGAAGAAGGTATACACTCTGCAGAAATACTTGCACATGTGCACTAGGAGACACGTACAAGAATATTTGTAGCGGCATTGCTCATAATATCCTAAATTAGAGACAACCCAAAAATTCAACAGTAGGGTGGATAAACAAAATGTGATATATCCATAAAGTAGAGAATTTTACAGCAACAAAATGAATAAACTAAAGCCTCATATAGAATAGATGAATCATAATTAAAAACATAATACTGAATGAAATAAACCAGACACAGAATACATGATTTCATTTACAAAACATTCAAAACCAGAGAAAACTTTGAAAAAAGTGATCAACTATAAAGAGAGGTAAGTCAGGATAGTGGTTATCTGTAGAAAGGAAATAGGGGTTAACAACAGCAGGAGTTGTGAGGCAGGGCTTCTAGAGTGCTGGCTATGTTCTGCCGGAGGTACCAAAAAAACATATATAAGTGGACACTTCAGTCAACGTTGCTCAAGCAGTAGTTCGCCATAATCAGAAGTGTCTGGATGCTGATGGTAACCACTTTGAGCACCTCTTCTAACTGCAGAAGTCAAATGTGACTTGTATTCATCTTTTTTTATTGGTATATTGAGTATTACAATTTTAATAGGTTTTTCCTTTCTTAAAATGTGTATACATTTTTGGGGGCACCCTCTGTATTTCTTGACCTGGATGGTAGTTATGTAGTATTTGCTTTATAATAATTCATGTAGTAGTTCTACATGTATGTTTTATGTATTCCTCTATATGCATGTTATATTTCACAAGGAAACTTTTTTTAAAACTAAGTTCACTTTGGCTACTGTGTAGGCAGGCAAGTTGCAAGCAGGAAGTACACTTGTCCAGTAAAGACATGATGGAGATTTGGACTAGGGCTGAGAAGTGGTGAGATTTGGGAAATATTTTAGAGGTAAAGGTAACAGGACCTGACGTGGAAACATAAAGGAAAAAAAAAGACGAAGGAACAAACATGCTGATTGTCATAAAACACAGTAAGAAAATACGCAACAGAATTAGCTAAGCTTTCAAAACAGAAAACATTAATGTGAAGTGCTAGGTTGTGACATTAGACTTCTTTCTGTCCAAATGGTTAGGGGAGGCTTCATGAAAAAGCTGGGAAAACAAACAGTTGATCCAAACTGTGGAGGAAATGGATGAGGGGAATGATACAATTAAGGGGAAAAGCTGATAGTTTACAGGTCGTGTGTATGGTTCTGTACCCTATTGCACATTATTTTCTTTTTGAGATATTTCATGTTATCTCTCAAATAGGTTTTTATCAACTTACAACTATCATTCAGATCCCAATAAAAGGTGTAGCACGTCACTTGAAACACAGTAACTATTCAATAAATTCTGATTGAATTATGAAGTCTTGAACAAGCGCATCACACAAGCCTGGAAATCAGGATCAGCCATAAGCCAACATGACACATCCAATCCTGGCTGCCTATATCATAATGCCTCTATACTATGTAGTACACAGTAATAACTTCTGCATTATTGGCTTTGTTTTAACTTTAGGGTGTTACTGGAAATTTTATTTTTGAAACATTTTCTCATTGGGTAGAATGATGGGTGTGGGAATAAAGGGGAAGGTATATAGGTAATAATGTCTAGACATAGAAGTTTGTGGGAAGGGAGACTTCTCAGTCAACCCACTTCAGTATCTAGGAAGGTTTCCTGATCAGTCAGAGTTAATTTGAGAATCATCAGAATTAACAATAAAAGGAGGGAATAATTTTTTTTAGGCTTGTTGAGAAAAGGAGAGTGGAATAAGTAGTGATTTTAAAACTCTTTGGACCACTTTTTTTATTTTTATATACATGTCTAACCACTATGCTGTACACCTGAAACCAATATAATATTGAATATCAACTGTAATTGAAATTAAAAAAAAAACTCTCTAGAGTCTCTGATTGTGTGATTTTAGCATGATTCTCCCTTACATACACACAAAACATGACATGAAAAAACTTACTGCTGGGCTGAATTTGCTTTGATAGGTGTTTGAGATTCCACTACAGCCCTTAAGACAACTGAAAATGAGAACATTGAAAACCAGTGGTGGAGAGAAAGCGACAAAGGGAAGAAAGACTCTATTAACTAGAGTATAGGCTAAGTGAGATAATAGCTAATGCTCACACAACGTTAACTGTGAACCAGGCATCATTTTAAGGAGTTACCTGTATTAACTCAGTTCTCACAAGAAAGCTGTGAGGTCATCCTCATCTTATAGATGAAGGCACTGAGAGTTTGGTGAAGTTGGCTGAGATGGCAGAACTAGAATTTGAAGCCCAGCATTCTGACTCTAGAATCTGTATTCTTAACTAAGGTGCTAGATTGTATCTTTTTCTTAGAAAAAGAGGAAGAGATAGCATAAATTCTGGAACTTCTTTATGTTTCTGCATACCAGTAACTTAGAAACTATGGTGGCATTTTAATACGGGATACGAAGATCATTATCTCCTCTAGTTCATCCTTATTGCTTATTCCTTTAGCTTTCCAATGACAACTACGTCATTCTCTTGGTCACTCTCAGTTAAAAATGTAGCTGACCTCAGCTCTATTTTTTAAAAAACAAAACCTATGTTTGCTATTTTAAAACGTGTTGCATAGCTTATGAAAATCTGGGGGGTGGGGGGGAATCCGCTGAGATTTTTAAGTTAAAAGGTCCAAGATAAACAGATTTTTGGCTTTCAAGAATATTGAAATACCTTACAGCTACGTATTGGATTTCATGTGCTAATGTTCATTAAATTGCAGCACTTTAAGGTAAGAGGTAAGGAGTGTTCTGCACTGATTAATACACTAATTACCATTGATCACAGGAGCTGTCATAATTGAAGTCTTCTTTTTAATCTCTTTACACTGAAGAGTATGAAAAACAGTGGGAAAACAATTCAACCTCCAAATCAGGCAGAACGGAGAATGGCAATGGAAAGTTAACATTTCTGCTGGGCTCCGTCCGGAGTTCAAACATATGAAAGCTATAGACCGTACAAACGCAATAAGACATCTAATTCTTTTACAAACGGTCACACCCACTCGGGCTGACTGCAAAATCTATCATAATTGGAAGCAGAGTTGCTGTTCTTTAATGCGCTTGGGTTTCTTGAAAACCTACAAGGCACCTGCTTTTTAAAGCCTCCCCCCTGAGATGCTCGCCCCCTAGCCCTGGCGCCTCCCTGGGTACACCTTTGGAGGCTCCCCGGCCTCCACCTGGGCTTCGGTCCTGCGCCCGGGGCCGGGTTGGAGGAAGGGGAGGTCGAGCGGAGGCAGAGAGGAGCGCAATGGTCCAGTCCCCCTTAACCGTGGCCCCACACGGCGCCCTCCCTCGCGGGGGCTGAGACTGAAGAGGAAGTGGGGAGGCTCCGCTCGGTCCGCGCAGCAGCACCCTCATGCCCCCGCCCTTCTCCTCGGCACCGGGCTCCGGCGCGCCCCCTCCGCTGCCCTCGCCCCGGGATAGGAGCGGGCGGCGCGGGCGGGCACGCGGAGAGAGGCAGCGGGAAGCGGATGGCTTGCGCCCCGCAGCAGGTACCCCAACACGCGTGCCCCCGGGCGAGACGGGCCCCAAGCCGATCCCGGAGACCGCGGCGGCCGGAAGCGCAGAAGCGTCACTTCCGGGCGGTGCAGTGGCCGCCGCTAGGAAGATGGCTGCGCCCTGTGGCTCGGAGCGGCCCGCCAACTCGCCGCTCAAAATCCCGAAGATGGAGGTGCTGTCCCCGGCCTCTCCTGGTGGCCTGAGCGACGGGAACCCTTCGCTGTCCGATCCTTCCACGCCTCGGGGCGCCTCCCCGCTCGGGCCGGGCAGTGCGGCGGGCTCGGGAGCAGCGGCGTCCGGGGGTCTCGGGCTGGGTCTGGGGGGCCGCAGCGCCGCCTCATCCTGGGGGGCCCCCGCCGCCGCCTGCCGCGGCATGTCGTGGACGCCGGCCGAGACCAACGCACTCATCGCAGTGTGGGGCAACGAGCGGCTGGTGGAGGCGCGGTACCAGCAGCTGGAGGGAGCTGGCACGGTGTTCGGCAGCAAGGCCCCCGGGCCGGCCATGTACGAGCGCGTGTCCCGGGCCCTGGCCGAGCTGGGCTACGAGCGGACCCCGTCCCAGTGCCGGGAGCGCATCAAGGTAACCGGCCGCCCGGCCCGGGGCTGCGAACCCGTGGCAGAGAGGAGGCGGGGAGCGGGCCTCGGGGGCGGGGCCGGTCCGAGCACGGGGCTCCCTCCCGGGCCCGGTGGGCGACTCGCATCTCTCCGCTTTTTTCTTCTCTCCCTGGAAAGGAGGTTTTTTTCCAGATGGCCGCCAGCCCGTAGGTTTCCTGAGTTTGAAGTTGGGCGTGCCTGCCGCCGCCCCTCTTTCTTGCCAATGGAAGACGTTCCTGCGCTCTGAAGTTGGTGCTTTCTCCTTGTGCGCCGTGGGCGTCTCCGAGCCCGGGCGCCTCTCGCCCCACCGCCGGGCCCTCGCTTTGTTCCAGGCAGAGGGGCGCCCAGGCAGAGGCTTACGGTCCGGAGCGGGGTTGAGGAAGGATAGCAGAGGGGGGGCAGTGGGCCCCCAGTTTAGGAATTTTCAAACGAGTGCAGTGGCTGAGCCATGCAAAAAGCGCCTTCGGACGACTGGCTTTTGTGTCAGTCGCCTTGCTTCTAACTTGAATTTGTGAAGGACGGGTAAGACTGGAGATGCTTTGGAGAATTGGAAAGGCTTGATTGCAGCCAGATAGTGCATTGTTATGGAGTTAGCTTGGCTGAGAGTTGGTTTGGAATTTGGAGTGTCGATGCCTCCAGAGTTTGATTGGCTTGAAGTATGTTTCTGACTAAGCTCCTTCATGAAAGCCAGTTTTTCCCTGCTTTAGTTATTGTGCCGGATGTGGTGACAAGTAAAGCTATCAGTGTGCATCTGGCTATCCTGTGTACCTGAATGTTTAAATACAGAGGCTTAATTTGGACTAGAAATTTTACCACCAGCCAGTTTATTGTTTTGCTGTTTCTACTGATTTTTAACCTAGACGTTCAAATTTGTATTGTAAGCTGATGTGGGGGTGTTTTTTAAGAGAGTTCCCTTACCATAGTGTCTGCTAAAATATCCTGGTAGTATTCTTTCTGCCAGTTTTCACTGAACTACTTCTTATTCATAGTTATAGTATCTGTGTACCTCTTTTCTGGTAGGGATGGCACTTTTTGCCCAAACTCCTTGGGAATCTTAAGTATAGAAGCAAATGTGATCACTGAAATCATAGCCTTACACAATTATGAGATAGATATCCAAGAAATCTAGATTATATTAATGAACACAAAAACACAACCTTAAAAAATTCTCAGAGAATCCCACACCCCTGAAAACAAATCTTTAGATCTCAGTTTCAAAAATGCCGATTTAGAACAAATAACTCAGAAATTTCTTTCACTTTATTGTGTTGATTGCAAAAAGAAATTCAATAATCCTTTTTGCTTTATTTTTCAAAATAGAAACAAAGTAGTACAAAAAAATAGGGACCGTGAGGGGTTCTTGTACAGACTAAAATAATGTAGCTCACTTAAATGTGAACTCATGTCAGAGGTTCACAGGGAAAAAACACTATGTGTGTCAGTTACATTTCTGATCTAATGTATATGAAATACCTATCAAAGCTAACTTATGAAAACTCAGTAAATAATTTCTTCAAGTTTGAAAGGAGGGAAGAGATATATAGTAACTTCAGTTTCTTTCATGAAACTTTCTGTTACTTATAGTTCAACATGTTGATGTAGCAGCTTTCATCTCATCATACAAGGCATCAGAAAGCTTGAGTCCTAGTCCAGCATCTTAAGACCCTGACCACCTTCCTGACCTCAAAGCACATCACTTCCCTTCTCTGGACTGCCTCATTCCTCTTATCTGTACAGTGGAAGTATTAAAATTGTAAATATTGAAATTGAATTAATAGCTCTTGGGTTTTGCTACCAAAGTACAATTTTTAAATACTACCCAGTGAAAATGTATATTTCTAAGTGCACAGGATTTTAACTTAAAAACAGATATAAACATTTGCTTATTGCTGCAAAGAGTTTCATTTTGAAGTTTGACATGTCCTGTTATTGATATGTGTTCAGTCATTTGGATAAAATGGATGTGTATGAGACTGTGTTGCTGCACAGATTATTGTTTTGTTCTGATGCTTTGTTGCTTTTTGTTTGTTGCCAGAAGAAAATTTGTCTGCTAACAATTCCAGCCTAATTTTGGAGCCAGGTAAAAAAATAGGTGGTTTTCTGTCTAATCATTATATGATTTTGCTCCTTTTGTATAGACCATTTATTTCATATCTCCATTCACCAAATACTTGAGCCCCTACTGTGTGCAGGGCTATCTGCTAGATGTTAGGATGAAGAAAAATTGTAATACGCCATCCGAGAGCTTACAGGGTAGTCAAAGTCTGTATACACACATCAGAGTTACAAAGCTGTACAAGACAACACAAGGGATGGTATACTCAATTAAGCGTCATATACTAAAATGACTTAGTGTCCTACTAAAGCAGACAGTAAGTGTGATGACTTCAAAGAAGGGAGAGATCTCATCACAGCCCACACTGTAGTCATTGAAAGATCTCTCCAGACTTGGAATTTATGAAAGCATTCACTTCTGAGCCACATTGCTCTAGTCACTTATGTCAGTTAATCTGATGCACTGCATAATTCATTCTCAAGTCCCATAGTTTTGGGTTTTCTCCAAAAATTTGCCTCTTGAGAGTGGGCTTTATGTCTCTTTGAAACCAGTGTCCTTCTACTTCTGTCTGAAGGTGAAATGCAAGGTGATTGCATGACCTAAAACACGTGGCTTTGCTGGATCAATGCTGGTGCTCATCCAATGGACTCAAAAGTAGTAGGGAGTTTTCTGCCCAGCAAACACAATGATTAATTTTTTAGGGACGTTGCTTAGATGTATTCTTCAGTAATTGTCATAATCGTTGAAGCGAATTTCATACTTTAGCAGACAAATCATATTATAGTATATTTGGTCTTCTATTTTTGCTGTCAAGCCTTGTCATTATTTGTGAGAACCAATAGGGCAAAGATAACTTGGAGCCAAAAGATAGATACCCTTGTCCCTGATAAGCATTTTAATAGACTCTGCTCACCCCTGAAGACTTTTCTTAGGTGTTTGTAGACAAGACTTTCCCTTTGTATTATCGTTGAAAGATTCCCAAGAAATATGGGATATCACTCAAATAGTTCATAAGAAAGATTTAGATTTGTTTCCTTCCATTTTTCATATAGTCAGTTTCTGTTGTTCCCATGTGATTGTCACCCGAAAGTTTGTGCGTTCCAGTTTGCTTGTCTGCTTGTGAATCTGACAGGCTTGCTGTGTATCTTAAAAGAATACAGTCATGTACCACATGATAATGTTTGGGTCAACAGCAGACCAAATATGTGACACCATATGGCCTATGTATACGATTAGTAGTAGTAGGCTGTTGTAGGCTGTCGTAGTGTGTAGTAGGCGATACCATCCAGGTTTGTGTACATGCGTGCACTCACTCTGTGATGTTCGCACAATGAGGAAGTTGCCTTCCAACGCCTTTCTCAGAACACGTCCCCAGCACTGAGCTGTGCATGACTGTAGACTTAGGCTACCAACCATACACTTATATTTAGGCTTTCAGTTTGGGAGGTTATAGGGGTCGAACAAGCACATGTTGAAATGGTGACTGACTAGGCTTCTGAGTTTCATTTTAATTAATTTAAATAGTCACATGTTGTTAGTGGCTACTGCATTGAACAGTGTAGGTAAAAAGTTGTTATTCAGAGTATTAAAGAAGTCTTTATATTATGAAAAGATTCTTTTGGCTACCCACTCAAACCTCAGTGGGGAGCTCAAGGTTCCTTTTTCTTGCCGTCCCTGTCCCTTTACCCCTGAGTAGGAGGAACCTTGATAGAAGTCAAGAAAAATGGTCCATTATTCTAGGAGGAAGAGCTTTTATTGCAAGGAATAAAGTATTATACCGTGTTTCCCCGAAAATAAGACCTAACCAGAAAATAAGCCCTAGCATGATTTTTCAGGATGCTCGTAATATAAGCCCTACCGCAAACATATGACCCAGTTAAGATCATCAGCCAGACATGACTGTTTGAGTAAATGTAGATTTTTGTACATGAATAAATGAATAAATGTAGATTGTTGGAGCAAAAATTAATATAAGACTCGGTTTTATTTTCGGGGAAACACGGTAACCTCAGTTGGCTGGGGCCAACTGCCGTATTCCTGGTTCTCTAGGACAGTGCTGTCCAATAGAACTTTCTGTGACGGTCTGAGTTTTCTGCATCTGCCCTATCCAGCAGGCACTGTGTAGTACCAGCCACAGGTGACTATTGAGCACTTGAAATGTGGCTAGTGTGACTGTGAAACTGATTTTTTTAATTTAATTTTAATTAAATTTAAATAACCATATGTGGCTAGTGGCTATTGGCCAGAGCAGCTTGGGAATAATCGTCTTCAAACTTTTTTGCTTAGGTACTCCTAGAAGAGTTTTCAAATCCATGTACTCTCTAGAACATTTTTAAGCTATTAAAATTTTTTCAACATTTTTCATGTTTGAAAGTTTTCAGGAAGTTAACAGGATATAGGAAATATTAAATCTAGTGTGAGATGAATAAGATGAGGATTGCCTGTAAACTTTATTGAAGGATGTACTCTGAATCTGAAAAATCCACCCAAAGTTCTTATCTGTAGGTTTTATCAAATGTATCTTGAAAATGTTGATGATCAGACAATACTCCACTTACATTTTAAAGAAACAATATTTGTAACCTATATTGCTTTGGTTATTCTAAATTAAGGGGCCACGCTTCACACTAAAAAAATACATAAAAGACTAGGAATGACAGGAATCCCTACGGTTTTAAGGTTCCTTGATCAATTATTAAAGGAAACATGGGTACCCCATTTGAAGACCACTGCTTTAGAACTCTAAGCATCTTTTCAATCTGTTTTTTGACTGATTAGTGGGCCCTTGAATCCCACTGCCCTTGGAAACGGGAAAGGTGTGGAGTTTAACTTTTGGCTAAAGTTCAAGTGTCGGCGGAGGATTTGACATTGCCCATTCACTTTAATCACACTCAATTGACAGATTCATCTCAGGGCTTCTATAAATACTA